ATGGCGCCTTCGGGAGATTTTCGGGGCCGCGGCGGCCGAGCGGGCACGGCGCTGGCCCTGGCGCTCATGATCGCCGTGGCCGAGGTGCGCGCGGCGGCCGTGGCCTCCTACGACCAGCGCACCGCCGACAGGATCCGCGGCGGCTACGACGGCGACCCGATCTTCGACAGCCCGCACCAGGACCACTACCACCACCACGTCTACGAGGTCATCAAGAAGCCCGTCGGACTCGGCGCCGGCCTCCTTCCGGGCCTCGCGGGACTCGGAGGACTCGGCGGTCTCGGAGGACTTGGGGGACTCGGAGGACTCGGCCTGGGGCTGAAGGGGCTCACCGGCCTCGGGGGACTCGGCCTGGGACTGAAGGGACTCGGGGGTCTGGGTCTGACCGGACTCTCGGGCACCAGCGGCCTCCCGCTGCTCGGGCTGGGCGGCCTCGGCGGACTGGGAGGATTGGGCGGACTGGGCTTGGGGCTCGGCCTCGGGGGGCTGGGAGGACTCGGCCTTGGGCTCACCGGCCTCGCCCACCTCGCCAAGCTGCACGCCCTCGGGCTCGGACTCGGCGGCCTCGGGTACAGCTCTCTCTACGGGGCCGCGACGCCCTACGGCATCAGTCCCATCGCGAGGTCCGCCTCCTACGACCTCGGGGACTCCAAGACGACCTCGGGCTGGTGACTCCTTCAGCAGGAGGAGAGGATCGCTGCGCCCTCGCCCCTGGGGCCTCCTCTGCCGGCGGGGGGAGAGGGAGGGGGTGCAGACGGCGGGGGAGTCGGTGGGAAGCAGGCGCGGGAATGGCTAGTCGTGGCCGCAAGGACGAAGAAGGACACGAAGGCGAAGGAGGCGACGGGGGAGAGGAAGGGCGGCGCCGGCAAGGCGAAGAAAGGCAAGGAAAGGAAACCCGCCGCGTGGACCATGGTCTTCCTCAGGACGTGCCTCGCGGACCGGGAATGCTGGTGACCGAAAACACAACCAAAGACATAATTATAGATTTCACCCCCCAAAAAAGGACAAAAGAAGAGAGAAACTTCAAGAAAAAAAGGATAGTAACAGTAGCAACGTATATGTCTAGGTCTTCCAAGTAGCGTAGGTCATTGTTGACGATTTTCCTTTCATTCCACGAGAAATTGTATCTTCTAGGATCCGGCGCGGGTCTTAGGAGCCGAGGAGAGTCTGTACAAAGATGTATTATCTTGTTAGTAAAAAATATACACGTCGTTGAGTTTTCTTTCATTTTCACTCAATTTCTGCATGCTTATAAAAGTGTCCGTGTTGCAATGAAGTGTTTGTTTACTATACAATTGTGGACTTGAGGTTGTGTGCTTGATAAGAATTTTTTCAACCCTCTCTCTCTCACCCTCATTAGACCTTATATCTCCCTCTCGCTCATCCTGTCTCTTTCTCTCTCATTCTCTATCCGTTTCTCTCTCTCTCTCTCTCTCTCTCTCTCTCTCTCTCTTCATTATTGTCTTCAGACTTTTCGCTATTTCACTTATTCCGCGACTAATGATTTCACCAATATTTCTTTTCTTTTGCTTTTACATTCTATTGCTTACACGTCTTTCTCAAAATAAAACACAAACACCAAATTAATGGCTATCCGAGTAGATATCATTGTATTAAGAATATAACTAGAAATGTATTAAAGAAAATATACATCAATATTTTCCTTATCAAGTCAATATATAAAGAAAATACACTATAGCTTTCGTTACGAGTGTGACGCATAGATGTCAGCACCGATTCTACTTACGAGAACGAAACCTAGATGGCATCACTTCCCTCTGGTCACGGAAACAGCCGATAGATGGTAGCACCTGCGGAAGAATGTCAAGTGAAAGGAGGCAACTTGCATTCCCTTTCACTCCGCCTCCACTTGTCTCAAACACTTGGTGATGACAATGATGATAGTGATGACGAGTGACTGATGAGAAAGATAATGATGATTCAGACTATATGCGTCATGAAAATGTTCCTTCCCAAATTTGCTGTTTTTTTTTATTATCACAATTACGGTTTATGTAAACGTGTGGCATAAGAGAAGTCAATATCATATGTTTTTCATTTAGGTATGCAATAGTTTCCGTTTACTTGACATTATTTATAAAAAGACACGTAAGAAAAAGATAAGTGATAGCCATGGCAGAACTAAATTTACTAGTACTGCTCCAGTAAGTAATTATGATTATAAAAATGAGAATACTACTACTAATAATAACAACAAAAGAAAATTATAATGATAATGATTAGAATGATAGTAATGATGATAACAATAATAATAACTGTTAAAAATGGCCATAATAATGGTAATCGCAAGGGCGAGGATAATAATAATAAGGATAATCATAATGACAATAATACAAAGAGAAATGAAAAGGCCATACAGCAGCGCCCACCGAAAGAAAACACGCAACCCAACCCGTGAATAACAAAGCGCTAGGTTATACAATGAATAACAATGAGGTGTGTTTATGCATAACAGGAACCGCATAAGAGAATGTGAGCGGGAAAATAATGGTCTGGGGAATCTAGGGCGAACAGACGGGAATGCAGAGGACGACGAGAGAAGAAGGAGGAAGAGGTGAAGGAGGGAATTGAAACGGTTTGTTTGCGTGTGTTTGTTGTGGTGTGTTTGCACGTTAATTGATGCTTAGGTAGAGAAATACGTTTGCTTATATTCGTATCTATGTGGGTATCTATATCAGTCTATATCTTTAGCTATTTCTATCTTTTGGAATCTATACCAGTCTACATTTATATCTGCCTCTGTTTTCTATGTATCTATACCTATATGTCGCTCTTATATCTATATATTCATCTGTCTATCCATCCATCAGTCTCTATGTCTATCTTATGCATATAAACACATAACGAAACAAGAGACAAAGAACAATAAACAACAACAACAACAAAAAACACATACACACCTAAATACCCCACAACCTGCACACCAAAACAATTTTTTTTTTTTTTTTTTTTTTTTTTTTTTTTTTTTTTTTTTTTTTACTTTCATTTCCCACGAACAAGAAACGGAGAAAGAACCGAAAATAACCCAAAAAGCGCCAGACAATAGGAGATGTTATCGCAGATTGCTATCATGGGGAAATTACGTCATCACATTAACAATACAGAGGCTTCGGTCACTTTATTTACGGTTCTGTGCTGCAATGTCACTCCGTCTTATCATTGCCTTCGTTTATTGACGGTAATGACATGATTATAGTGGTGATGATGATGCTACTACTATTTGATTCACTGTAACTTCTATTATAGCTGCTATTAATATTATCATCATTGCAATTGTTATTATTATTCGTACTATCATTATGACGATGATGATGATGATATGATAATGATAATGGTAATGATGATAATGGTAATTTTTGTTATTATTACTATTATCATTTCTATTGTTATCTTTACTATTATCATTATTATAGTTGTTGTTATTTTTCTTGATTTTATTCCTTATCATTCTTATTATTACTATTATCATTATAATTATTGGTGTTGTTGCTGTTGCTGTTATTATTATTATTATCATCATTGTTATTATTATAATTATTATCATCATTATTATTATTATTATTATTACTATAATTTTCATTATTGTCATCATTGTTGCATTTTATCACCACCATTTGAATCATCATCATTATCAATAGCATTGTTATCATTACCATTATTGTTACTATTATTATTATTGCTATCATTATTATAATACTACTGTCATCATTATTGTTATCATTACCATCATTATTATCTTGTTGTTGTTATTGTTATTGATATTGATATTATCAGTGATAGTAGTATTTTCATTATTATTATTATTATCATTATTATTATTGCTATTGTTATCATTGTTAATGTTATCCTTATTATTATCATTATTGTTATCGTTCTTCTTATTATTTCATTAATATTATTATTTATATTATACATTATTTATCATTATCCTCCTTATTATTATTATCATTATAATTACTATTAGTAATAGTAGTAGCAGTACTATTGCTACTATCATTATTGTTGTTATTATTATTACGATTATTATCATTTTCATTACTACTACTGTTATTATTATCATCATTGTTATTGTGGTTATCATTATTATAATTATTATTTTTACTATTATTGTTATCATTATTATTATTACTCTTCTTATCATTATTATTAATTTTATTATCATTATTATTGTTATTATTTTCATTATCACTGTCATTATTATATTATCGTTATCATCATTGTTTTTATTATTGTTATTGCTACTGTTATTGCTATCATTATTATCATTATTATTGTTATAAATATTATTATTATTATTACCATTATTATTATTATTATTATTATTATTATTATTATTATTATTATTATTATTATTATTATTATTATTATTATCATTATTATCATTATCATCATCATTATTTATCTAATTATCATCATCATTATGATTATTATTGTCATCATTATGATTGTATTGTTAATCTTATCATTACTGTTATTATCATTAGTAGAAGTATTTATATTAATTGTAATATATTGTTACCATTGTTGTTATTTTTGTTCTTGTTGATATTATAATCAATATTGTTATTATCGTTATTGCCAATATCACCATTATCATTATTTACCAAATCACCATTATCATTAAAATTAATACTTTAATATCATCATCATTACCTCTGCCAAAGAGGTTATGTTTTTGGTAGCGTTGATTACTTTGTTTTATTAATTGACTGGCAGGATATCTTAGAAAGTTATGAACAGATGAACGTTTTACCGAAAGTGAGCCTCAGCCCAATTTAGATGCCATTAAATCTTGTTGTTGAACCGGATCAGGATCAGGATCTGGGAATTTTTAAACGATACAATAGCGCTTGGAGTGGCGGAAACACGGACGTCACCAGTGTTCTTGGGGAAGAGGTGACCTTCTTGGAATGCTTTGAAGTGTGAGTGTTTTGAATGCTTCAGTTACCCTGTTGCCTTAACGGATGTATGTGCTCTCTGAGTGCTTTTATTCATTATCATTATTGTTATTGTTATTATTATTATTACTATCATTACTGTTATTTTTGTTGGTATTAACTTTGTTTTTCATCATTGTCGTTGTTCCTGTTATCATAATGATAATTATAATAATTATAATAATTGGAATGATAATAATAATAATAATGACAATAACAATAACAATTAGGATAATACTAATAGTGATGATAATGATAATGATCATAATAACAATGATGATAACAGTAATAATAATAATTATGATAATAATGATAAGAAATTATAACAATTAATACTATTAATTAATATTATCATTGTTATCAGTATTGCCATTACTCCTATCACTTTTGTGTTCCCTATTATCGTCATTTATTAGTATTATCATTATTGTTGTTATTATCATTATCATCATTAGCATTATCATTATTACCATCATCACTATTATCAATATTGTTACTACTGTTATTGTTTTTATTATTATTGTTTTTGTTATTTTTACTCTTATTGTTGTTGTTTTTGTGTTATAATTTTCATCATTACAGTATCATTACCAACATTATCATCCTAATATTACTGTCATTATCATCATTATTAATATTATTGCTTCTATCCTCAAAAATGTCATTATTTTTTCATCATTACCATTATCATTATTTCTTTTGTTTGTGGTCCTA